TATACGTCTACGGTATAATGCGCCCTTTATGCGAAATCCGCTGCACGGGGCAGAAGTGTCGTTACTCGTTTAAATTGTCATAAGTGAATTGACAAGTGAATCACAGCAGACCTCTTCAAGAAACAGTATAAGTTTCGTCACAACAAACTATCGTAATTGTAATTGCGTTATATCAAAATTCATGTCAAATCTGGACGACACGAATATACCTTATTCGCGAAATTCTTCGGACGTGAAATTTAGTGGTCAATCAACGGGACCGTCTCGTGAACCAGGGGGCGAACGCGAAAAATTTCTATACACGGCAACTCGACGGAGGAAATATGTATGCCCTTGTACTCTTTATAGATGTAAGATTGAACTTCAGTCGTATGACGTCGCGGTCATCCATCGATCGTGCCCGGACTTTCGACGTGTTTGTCGCTCGCGGTACGCGGCTGTGCATCTGTCGAAACGTGAGAGGATCTCTCGTACGATCGGACGGGTTAGTGGTGTCCAGCATCCGGTTTACGTTCGACGGTCAAATGGTCAAGTTTGATAACGCCCGTTACGTTCGTGAGAAGCATACGTCTTAACTTCCCGTTCGCGTTAAATCATCAATCGTGCGTCGGCTCAACCATCGCGTGCAAAGAACGTACGTTAATTGAACGAACACTGCAGTTCTTATTTCTAGTTTCACAATTCCTTTCTTTGCCAGTCAAGTTATTTTTTCATATATTGAAAAATAATTTTACTAGCAGAAAAAATTTCCAAACCCTTCCCCAAAGATTTTCGAACCTTATTTAATACACACAAAATTTGATAGAAAACTTTTTGCATATATATATTAAATGCAAAAATATAATACTCAAACGACTTCGATTTTTTAACTTTATTTTAACATCCCATCAAACTTTCTATTAAATAAAAAATTAATATCCTAATATCTGTAATATCTATCTTAAAATATAAGATTAATACCTGCCAATAAAAGATTATCTTTATTTATTTAATAGAAATAATAATATTAAATAAAATTATTTAGAAAATAGAAATTGTGTGGGATAAAAATTTGATAAATTGAAAAAAAAGATTGAAAAATTCCTTTTCCTCAAGAAAGATCACCAAGTATACCTGCAGGACACGACCGTCCCGAACAGCATTAATGCATTCCGCTGTACCCTCACACCTGCACACACGCACGCATAGGCACGTGCGCGCGCCGTGCATACATGTATGCATGCGGAGATTGCAGAATTTGTGGACAGTGGAGTCAGTGGAGAGCCGAGCGGGCCAACGGGCGTCTCTCTCACGGTGGCTCATCTCGCAAACGGAACGGAGGCAACGGAGCTCCGAATGCTCCGATTTTCGCCGGAGTAGAGCGAGAGAATGGTGAGACGTCCGCGTCTGTTCGGAATGCCGAAGCGTCGCGACGCGCTCCGCTGGACTCTCTAGAAATTCTCGCAATTGTGCAAACGACAGAGAGAAAGAGAGAGAGAGAGAGAGAGAGAGAGAGAGAGAGAGAGAGGCAACGTGTGTGCGACGCGTGTGCGTGCACTGCGTGCGTGAGGTCGTTGCATTGATGGGAACTCCGTCGTCCGTCGTACTCTCGTCTCGTTGCCATTCAGCCATTTACCGTGCCATGCGTTCACCCGCCGAGCTGCCGCTCATCCGTCGTAAATTGAACGTTACTCATTAACGTCGGAATTCCTCCTCAGTGCATTCATCAGAATCACACCTGGCCATCAGTTATGCGGAGGTAGAGCTAGAGGTTATCTTATCTTGCGACACACGTGCGAGATGCATCCGCAAACGATTGCTGCAGTGCATACGTGCGGAAATTAAATGATATTGATAAGACGGCAAACGTATACGATATTGAAATTTAATCTGCATATTGTAATTTGCGACACTCGACATGAGAGACCAGGTCTCGTCATTATCTTCTTGACAAGTCATTGTTTGGGTGTTTAAATATTCATGCAGTACACATGCAGTTCTTACAAGTGACTTGTGATGCTAGACGAGCTGCCCGTTTCCTTATTATTTGGTATAAATTTTACGCGAGTACAAAGTTTCTCTTGGACGTTACATTGTAAAGAAACATGTCAATTATATATTTAATTCAATATACATATATATTAATTCAATTCCTTCTTGTTGGAATTGAATTAAGGCTGGGATAGATAAAACATTTGGCATTAAGATACCTATATGCAAAATAATAGTGAACATTGAAATATAAAATATATGTTATATTTCATTAAAAAAATTAAAAATATATTGTTATGTTACAAGCTGCAATATCGATGCAATTTAAAACAACATCCAGGATAATATTATCGGACTATTTCAGGGTTCAACAGGATAAGTGGCGGTATTAAAATTGTAGTGCCAGAAGAAAAATATTCACATCTGTGATATTCGGCAATACATCATACCATTATCACATCATATATTATGATAAGTGAAAGCCCGTGTCTGTCTCGTACAGCAGCCAACAACACAACAGTGCTCTCTGATGCAGTCAGTCTCGCGTGTCAGTTTGAGTTGGGATCAACGTCATTCTTATACTAACAATCATATGCCTGAATATGTAAGAAGATATGTCTTTGGCATACCTAAATAATTTCATTAACTTGTTTAGATTGAGATTGCATTAATCCTTAATCTCGTTATACATATTACTTTTAGAGCAAATGATCAAACAGAACTGTGCTTTATCAATTTATTCTGACATATCATAAACGTTTTATTTTAATTTTTTTTAATTCTTTTGTGATATTCCCGAGAACAATAAAAGCAGTGCTCGTGTTTTTTTAATAGACGAGAAAAAATAAAATTTATGCATGGTAAAGAATTACATTGCACAAAATTACGTTTATTTAGTCTCAATTAATCCAAAGCTGATGATGTTTTATACTTGACAGAAATAAACTGAACAAACATGAGGGTGACAGCGTGCCATTTTCGCCGCTGCGTAATAGCAGGACTGTCCGTAGCACTATTATTTTGCGTCATTCAAGTAATACGAATAGAGTTAGGATTTAATGAATCTGATATGTCAAATTTAAACAAATTGTGAGTGATATTTTTAGTATTCTTACTTCAGTGCCAAATGTTGATGTACATTTTCATACATTCTCTAATTTTTAAATACTTTCAGAATGTACATATCACAATTGATCAAAGAATCAGAACAGTCTTATGTGAGGTACGTATATGATATTCTCCCTTTAACAAGCGAGCTGAATTGCACATAACATTCCAGTTAATATTTTGTATTTGACAAGAAAAAAAGCAAAGCACATCATGCATGTCAGCTTTACACTTGTTATTTATAATTCTGATTGTGTATTTATTATTCATTACTTTTTATTAATTGTACAGAGATGGTATTGTTGCGTGCAAGTTACCTCAGTTGAATATCTCTAGTCCGGAAATAATGAAATTCATACATGATGTGCCACCCTTATCTTGTGGGCCAGAAGATTGGGTCATAGTGGAAGGTTCAAGACTTGTTATTACTAACAAAGCGAAGACGAAACACGGACAAATAAGATGCATCTTCAGTGGTAAGTTAAAAATAATATTCCCTATATTCTTGTTCTTATTACATGAATAAAAATATCGTAATGATTTCCAATAATTAACGCAAAATTATCGCACAATCATTTAATATTATTCTATTTAGTAATCCATACTGTTATCTTTTTTCAGAAATTATTAGAACAGATGACTACGATACAAAATTGTTGGACGGTATAGAGGCTGATGATTTTTACATTTTGAGGGAGAGCGATTTTGCAGACGTCAGATGCAAGTCGAAAAGTGGAGATGTGTTAGTTAATTTGCTTATTTACTTTCAAAAACGTACCCACTATTATTTTGCTGATAGTGAATATGTTTAGGTGGCACAGTATACTCGCTGGCGTGAAATATGATCCGTATATCAAACAGAAGCACAATTGGGAGAACGTGCCGGACACAGGCCTGAAATTGAACGTGCTTATGTTCGGGTTCGATTCGCTGTCACGAAACACGTTTGTTCGCAAACTCCCCAAGACTTATCGTTTCATAAAACAACTGAATGCTCTGGTGCTAGAGGGATACAACATTGTAGGGGATGGCACACCGCAGGCACTTATTCCGATCCTAACCGGCAAGATCGAACTTGAATTACCGGAAACGCGGAAACGAATTCACAATGCGAATTACGTTAACGTATATCCTATGATATGGAATAAATATGAAGAACACGGATACATAACAAGTTTTATGGAAGATGTACCGCACATCGGAACGTTTACTTATCGCCTGAAAGGATTTGATAAGCAACCGACTCACCACTATATGCGCACCTATTATCTAGCCGCTTCTCCATACTTTAAAACATATAATAAATTCTGCATAGCTGGCACTCCACGTCATATGGTATTAAATGCAATATAAATTTATATGAATTTACTGATAAGATAAAAAAAGAAAGCAACGTCGAAAAAAAAGCTGAAAATATGCTTCAAAATTTTGATTTGTGTTAAATCACAATACAATTTAAACTCGTTAAAGCTATATATTATTAAAGCAAACGAATTTTCTTTTTGATTGATACCTTTGTTAAACTTTTATTTGGTTCTGTAATTATTGAGGCATATGTATTTATATAGGTGATGATGAATTACATAAAAACGATATTCAACACGTATAAAAACCAGCCAAAATTCGCGTTTGGATTTCATGGAGAACTTTCTCACGACTCTTACAACGATATCGGGGCAGTGGACGATGATTTATATTCTTGGGTGAAAGATCTTTACGATCTCGGACATTTGAACAATACCATTTTAATTTTGATGAGCGATCATGGACACAGGTTTGAATGCCTTTTATATATAAATAGTGTTAATGCTCTATATCTTTTACACTTCATACATATACGCAAGCAAGCATTATTTCCGTTTTACAGATTCGCAGACATTCGTAACACTTTGCAAGGCAAGCAAGAGGAAAGATTACCGTTTTTCTCCTTCATTTTTCCACCTTGGTTCAAGCAAGCCCACCCACAAGCATACGCAAACTTTGTGTACAACACACAATACTTAACATCACCATTTGACATACACAAGACGTTGGAGAACATACTTGACTTTGATACGCCAAAAGATGGGGATCGTCGTCAACGAGCCATCAGTTTGTTTGATAAGGTAAGTTTGATAAGTTAATGCCAAAAATTAATATACCAGTTTAATTTCGTTCTATTAATAGAGTACAAACATGAAAAAGAACTCGTCAAATGTAACGTTATACCCTTATTTGCAATAAGAATAAAGATCATTATTACATGTATTTTATATCTGATTAAACTCAACGAAATTATATCAGTATTAATCCTTTGTTGATCATGTAATGTATATTAATTACAATTGTGTGTACAGTTGTGTTATAAATATAATTTTAATGCATTATAATGTCTTTTATAAATATCGGAATTAAGATTGAATCTTGTTATCATTCATAGCAACGTATTTAACTTTTGTCAATTTGAGATAAAATGTTAACATCTACATTTAAAAAAAAATGTAAAATATAATGTCTCGTATACTTATAAAACAAAAGGAAAACTTATACTTAATCAGATCCAAGTTTTTTTACCATTTGATAATTTGATAACTGACAATTCTTACAATGCAAAGGACTAATGCAAAAAACGCCACTCTTTTATGTAGTAGTAGCTGTAATTTCATGTAGTAATTATGCGAAACATTAGTTGACTCATGCACGCATACTATCTAATAGCAGTAATTCGGGACAATACGATTCCAAGAATACTTCGCAAATACGAGATAAAACGTTATATATGAGTAAATATCAAGATCATAATTAAATGTCTTTTTAATTATAAATCTAAAATTATATGAACGAAAATCTGCGCGAAGAGAAAATTACAATTATTGAATGAGATTATCAACAAGAAAAGATACACAATTTCCATCTCATTACGATACCGTAATAATTAAACATTCTTTTATGAAAACGTAGTTAAACACGATAATATCATTCGATACGGTTTTAGAACTGACGTAAGCACAAGGCACTTTATCTTGACTATTACTCATCGAAACAAACGCCTTTATTATCGAGTAGTCGAGTTTTCTTAAAAGTTAAAAAAGTTATCTGCGATATGAAATAATGGATTAATAAATCTTCTAAAGAGTTTCAGAAACAGATAAGTTACCGAAAATCTCTTAATCTTTCTTGAAAATACGAAAGCGGATATTAAGTATTAATAAAAAACACAATAAAGCGATAAATGAATATATAAACACATGTCCAAAGTAATCCACATCACGTGTACAGATTTAATTTTTATCTTAAAAAACAAATTTCGAGAACTTTGGGCAAATCTTGGGAAACAGATTAGCCGCAAAATATATCACTTGTAACACAACACGAGCTCTGACTAACACTGGTGAATAAAACGTCGCTCTGTCTGTAGAATATCCCCACTACTTCGTACTTCGAGATTGCGACTTGCGGTTCGTTTACTGATCGTATCGCTTCTTTTTCACAGAGATAATTCTGTTCCTACTTTATGATTAACACACACAGCGCGATCTTCAATTACTTTTAGAAACTACATAACGAATTGTTGATAAACTGTAATTACTGCATAACTATAACAACAAAATTTACAAATTTGTAACTTTTCTCACGATTAAATGTATGAGAAAAGAAAACCAGATTAAAATTAATGTGATACTTTAGGTGCCTCTAGATAGAACATGCGCAGATGCCTTCATAGAGCCTCATTGGTGTGCTTGTCTCGGGTGGAAAGAAGTTTCAATTGACGACACGAACGTTGTGGCCGCTGCCAACTACTTTGTTCAATTCCTTAATGGCTACACCGAGGATCATCACGATATATGCGCGATACTACATTTGGACGAAATTTTATGGGCTGCTAAGCTCATACCCACCAAAGGTACACTTTATGCAAAATGTATCGTTTATCATATTATATTTATAGACAAAACTAATATATGTGATATCTTAGGTTTACTTAACTTCCGAAAATCCGGAGATCAAGACGGTTTTATAGGTGACTTCAGTGCCAAAACTAAAGTAATGACTGAGATTTATCAATTGAAAGTAAGAACAGTACCAGGTGACGCGTTGTTCGAAGTTAGCATTATTCAGGATCTTGTGAAGAATACTTTTCATACTAAGGTAAGTTCAGGGAAGCGATTTGACTAAGGGAGATACAAGTATATTTTATGAAAATCATGAAAATCAATGTCGTTTTACAGATCTCCGATGTTAGCAGAATTAATATGTATGGATCTCAGGCGAGATGCGTGGAAAACTCGCTGTTTCATTTACGCAAATATTGTTATTGCAAGGAATAGGTGACGCTTACCTAGCATAATTTTCAACATTGTTCATACAAGAACAGTGTGTGGATCGAACCATCAATCAAAATAAATCTTGATTGTAAGGACATTATTTAATTTTAAACAAAAGTGCTGTGATTAATATCATTTTCGTTTTTTGCTATACGAAGTAGCACACATTAGACTAATGTTATATTTGTCTTGATTGATTTACCGATAAAAATGCAGCTTAGAGAAATATCATATGGTACATATCACTTCTAAAAGATTTCTCATATTTATCATATTACGATTAAACAGGTAGCTACGTTCCAATCTATGATGCAAGATATTTTAAATTACATGTTTTGCATATTCGAAAAATTCCGATAAATTTTTGCTTTTGCATAATATCGCTCGAGATTATAATACATAATAATAATGTATACGTATAGAATATATACATAATTGATTATGAATAAAAATGCATATAAATAATAATCTTCGGCGATTAGTTATAATCTTCGAATTATTTAAAATTTCTGAAAAATGCATTAACGTTTGCATTTTTAAATTTTTTGTTTAGAAATAATATGTGTGCCAACATAGTGTAATTATAATTAAGATTGTAATAATTTCAAATTTTTCGAATATGTTTTTATTAGGGAAATTATATTTTTAAATTATTAATTTTTTGACAATGAATATTGTGCGGATAATAACGATAGTATGGATTGTGAAGAAAAATGCTTGTAATACAAGCAAGATATGGCGATTAGCGTTTAGGAATTTTTTTAAAATTATAAATGCATCTATATGATAAAAAAAACACAAGCTAATATATGCTAGTCATATCTAAGTCACAAGAACAACGGGCTAAAACTCGTCATTCAAACAAAATACCCTTTCTCACGAGAGCAAGAAGCTTTAAAAATAGATATTTTATAGAGCGAATGCTTTCGTGATTTTACTGTATACCTACATTTAAGATTATCTCTAAATAAAAGATTGCCGTAATCTTTCTGTATGAATCTCACAAGTGTTACACACTTATATATTTATATATTTCTGGACTGTAATACAATCATACGTATGTATAATTTTATGTGAATGTCGACATATTTTGCAAGAAATTATCTATTTAAAAGGACTGAAGAGTAAATAACAATTAATGAGTATGCGATAATTATATATGCGCGAAGAAAGACTTGCATGTAAGTGCTTTAATTTTGATGGAACACTAACTTGGTTTAATATTAAAAATAAAATTGAATCCTATATAATGACAGTCTTTATATAATTTTCATGTGATGAATGAAATGACTTGTGTATTTCATATGTGTGTAAAAATTATATACATACGTAAAACAATAATATTCTAATTAAATAATTCTTTCTATATAATAAGGAAATTGTATTTAATTAAATTATAAAAAAGATATGCAGAGATAAATATAATTAAGCTCGTTTTGCAATCGAATAAAAAATTATCTTGTATGAAATGCAAAGACTATATTATTGACATTATCACGAATCTTTTTACGTACATAAGATTAAAACTAGGATATATTCTGACTATACCTAAGAAAATATATACGAGAAGAGCGATTATTAATTAGGATGATATCTATAAGAGAACAAGTACGTATTGTAGTGAAATCAGATTCAATCTGCAAAATACCCACCATATTGATGTATGAAAGTCGTAATTTCGCGAGAATTAGCATCTATCAATAGGAATGCAATATTTTGCCTGTTGCTTGAATCAGATGGGAAGTAATCTTGGCCTTTGCCATTCTTAGCAACTATTTCTAACACCAACGTGCTCACGAACAAATCATTCGAAGTATTCTGTTTCTGCACTCTAGACAGAATACAGTATAAAACTTCAGCATTTTCATATTTTTAACTTCTGTTAGGATAACTTAATTTTGACAAATATTAGTAACCTTATGAGATCCTTATAGATATTTTTAGTTACATCCAGATACGGCTGTAATACATCCTCAAATTGACATAATGTTCCGCCGAGAACGAGCATTTGAAAGATTCGGAACGCAAATTCAAGTCTTTCATCTTCCGAATACAGACTGTATTCTTCTGACTCCTCATCCAAAAGCATCTAAAAATTGTGGAAAGTTAGGAATAATATATGAGAAACATCCAACACACACAACGAACACTTTTCACAATTTGCTACTGCTTAAGATAATTCAAAAACGGATTTTGGCATCGTAAATTATTAAACAATGCAATATTGCAAGAGAAAAAGAAATCACAGTTTATCTCACAAATATCTTACACCACGTAGATTATCAGACACTAGAAAATCTTCTACTTGTAAGTCATATCTTTTACATATTATTCCGGAATTATGCACAATCCCATTATCTGGATCCTTCAGTTTGTTAAAGAATGACATACTTAGGACTGAACACGGCACTTGTTTTACTTGCACATTTGACGCTCGTATACCTAACAAATATATATTTTTTTAATTCGAACCGGTTTATTCGCATAATGAATTTCCTAAAAATTACAGATATTACAATACCTTGTTTTACCCAAGCACAGCCTTGTTTGGACAACAGTGCTTTTGCGACGGTATCATCTTTAAAAAACGCCTATAAATTTATGACTCTCAGTGAAGAATATATGAATTATAAAAATTTATTGAACGGTTATAGCGTTTCTTTACATTCTTCCTTCTTTAATAAAATAATCAAAAATGTAAATATCTTCCAAAACAAAAAGATTACTATAATTTTTATATTCTTTTGTTCCTCGCCACGATGAGATTCTATGTGATTAAAAAAAAATTCATGCAAATTTATTAAAATATTTCCGAAGAACCATCGTTCTCGTTATTGATATGAGAGTGAACTTACATCAGCTAACTGATATTTATGATACTGCTGAAACGGCTCGTTAAACGAAAAATTCTGGATGACAAAGTTCCCTTTTAAGCCCCTAAAAACATGACGATTTTTAATGTATCACCTATTGAGTTAATTAGAGAAATAACTGTGCGCATTGTAAAAATGGTGTTAACTAAAATATCAATGTCACCATTTACACAGATACTCCTGTGTATTTTTATCGTTAATCCCGACGTAGATTTTCTCATTCAGCGGCACGAACGTGAATTTCGGATCAATCTCCATTTTTACACACTTCAACTAACTTGTGATTACCATGGAGACAACACGTGTATGTATATACATGGCTCGCAATGCTCATATGCCGGTGTTCACGTATCAGATATATAATATATTTTACAATACTATAATATTTTACAATTTTACTTTTTTATAACATATTATACAAGATAGTTATATTAATGATACAAGCAGCCAAAGAATGATTCATATAAAAAAGGTAATAATAGAAAAATGTATCAAAAATATGTAATAAAATTTTGTTACGAGATTTTGTTGAAAAAAGAATTGTAAAATTTTATTGTACTCTGTGTGTGGATTCATACCGATATTCTCGCAATGCGTTGTTAAACCGAGTGCCCCGAAAAACCAATCGGTCTTTTTGGAAAGCATTACTGTAACTTTACGTTATGGTTATGAGAGTGTAAGCAAATTTTCTGATAATTAACGAAATATTTAATTTCATATGGGCATACGAACGTTCCGTATAAAAGCGCTGACGTTTACGTTTTGTCACGCGAGAAGACAATAGATGTCGATAAGCATATCTTTTGTATAAGCATAATTTATACAATAGA